CGCAATGGCGTTGTCGCCTGCGTTCCTGCGCAATGCAGCTGATGTATCGAGGAATGTATTCCTTGACCAGAGAAGATCGGTCCTCGTGACTTCCTTTCTTTGCCGAAATATGCCTAGTATCTACGACCGAAACTGCCACTATTAGGAAGGTTAACATTCCGTTCAACACCTCTTGCTGGCCTGCAGGAAATTTAAGGCCATCCGAAGGGAGGGTTTCGGCCATCTTCCAGGGCGCATGAATCTTTGGGCGATCCTGAGCGAGCACAAGTTATCCACCACGTCCATCGAATTCATGGAACGGACGCAGATCCTCGGGCGATACGGGATGCACAGAACAGAGGTGAAACGCCTCGAAGAGCCGGACACACGAGAACACACACGCGCAAGACCACCGCATTTAACAGCCTGCCAGCAATGCAGGTGGTGGTCCTAATGGACGAGGAGAGGAGAAGTGGATGGCTGGCCTTTTGTTTACATTTCGTGGACATGAGGTGGAGCGGGGCTAGCCGTAACTAGCAAGATCGCGTAGTTAGCGTCGGCCGTCAACCGGAGGCCTCGGTACCGGGCATAGCTGCTTAATATGGGCGTCCACAACCGTGTAGGATTTAATCAAATCAAATCAAATCAACCCGAAATTTGAACACCATTCTACTCACCAAAAATCGACTTCCGTGATATTGTTCAGCAAAGCCTGAATCGATGTATCATCAATGTCCTGGAAACAAGTTACAGCAGCGAAGCGCGAGCAGGTGTCCTCTCAGTTTCCTCCCTCATGGATGTTCGCTCCGGATGAAGTTGGGGGCAGAATGAAGCGGAAAAATGTAATCCAGCTACTGACTGAGCACACCTCTGCCACAGAGCGTGAGATAAGCGAGCTGCCTGTCCCTTTACTACTGCAAAAACTTCAGCAGGGCGACCTATCAGCGTCTGAGGTCGTGGTAAGATAGGATTGCGAACATGTACCGCTCGACAAAGCTCTAAGTTTCTGCAGGCTACTTTTGCGCATCGTGCTGCGCTTTCGCATCAACTGGTAAGACTGTACGCTTGACCTTGCCAATGCGCATATGTAATTCTCCCTAGACGCACTGCCTGAGCGAGTTTCCGTATCAAGCTGCCAAACAACGAGCGAGAGAACTTGACGAGCTCTTCCGGACACATCAGAGAGCGACTGGTCCGCTACATGGATTGCCGGTCAGTCTGATGGATCGGTTCAACGTGGCAGGCTTGGACAGTGCGAGTGGATACGCCAGCTGGATAGGGAGCCCGAAGACTCTGCACGACGAGGGCGTTCTCATCAACCGACTACACGGCCTAGGTGCGATCGTGTTTTGCAAGAGCAATGTCCCGATGAGCTCTATGGTAAGGTTTTTCAAATAT